GTCAGTGTGTCTGCCTTAATGACTTTCTATGTGATCGTCTTAATTCAAAGATAACTGTGTGTTTATGCTCGTTTATCCTGAAACACTCTGACAAGACTGATAAAACCATGTTTTTGTTTAACTGTACCATGTTCATTACACTATGCCTGAATGCATTACGCCACACATTACTGAAAAATAGAATAAAATGTGATTTTTCTTTGTTTGGAATGGTTTTCCTGTCATGGATTACATTTCATTTTCTATTTGAATTTTTCTAATTTAATTGGATTTCTTTGTCAAAGGGACCAACATAAATGTGTGTTGTTCCAGTCAGCTTGAAACTCATTGTAGCAGCGCTCTGAACTTCAAACGCTAGCACAATTACGGGACTATATTGGAATGCTTGTCTTTTCTTAATACACTCGAGAATATGAGCCTTAAAATAGCTCCCACGAGCTCTTGAAGTCCATAAATAGGCTGAAGGCTGTTTGTACACTGCTGTCACTGATCCTGGATTTTTCAAAGAATTGTCAAAAGTTAGGAAAAGACTGAGTTTTTAAGCCACTTGTCTACGGTAGAGTTTTTTAAAGCTGACATGGAGAGGAGAATTGAGAGCTTTGTGGTTGGCTGAGCTGTCTCTGATGTTCTTTCACACTGTGAGTGGGAACATTTTCTATCCGGTTCTCACTTAACCAGCTGGAGGGTGCGCTGTGCGGGTTTAATGAGAGGGAACACATATAGTACTGCCACATTTGTACTGAAATGCAGGTAATATGAGCAGCACTGCTGTATTTCAGACACACTAAATACAATGTACAAGTTGAAACAGCATTAGGAGTAAAATACCAGATGTTTGAAAGCCCTCAGAAGCTAAATTAAATCCCAGTTTCCCCCTGAAGCAGTTACAAATGAAGTGCATGTGGTGGCAGTGTTCCATATATAGTGCATCTAACACATGAAGCTGCAGTATTTGAAACACTCAAATCCATGACACCATGTCTTTTAAACAGGAGACAGGTGCTTGCAGGTAGTTCAGGCAGTACAGTATTGTGGTTTGGCTGCTGACTTTGCCCACTCACCAACACGGTCAGCAGTGGATGTGACTCACAGCTCACGCTGATTCAGGTACTTTAAATCGATTAGCGACTGATTGCTGCAATCTGTGTCAAAAATCGTTGATCGTGACTTACACGTGCCAGGGGAATCATTATCTTGATGTCTATAATTCTGCTTAGAAATCATGGAAAAAAAGACACTCGCTATAACAGCAGAACATCATGAATCATCACGTTTTTAGGTTTTTGTCAGTGTGAAAGTAATGCAGTGACAGTTGTCTGTACATCCATGGGTACACTGCAAGCAGAAAGTGCTAAAGGCTAATTCAGCATACTTTTAATGGCAATTAGCCAAAATGTAAATGTACAGGCTGTATCCCAAAACTAACTAACCGACTTTTGACAAAGTCTAAGTAGTAGTCCAGTCTAAATGATGTTTCAAAAGCTTCTTCCACATTGCTTGGAAGTTCTGGTGTGGAATTTAAATGTATTGCCTAATTCAACAAAAATAAATAAATTAAGTCAAACGCAGTGGAAGTGGCCTATAAATAGTACCTCATGTAAAAAATATTATTCAAATAATAACTACACCCAGGTTGTAATAATGCAAATGCCCAGATTCCCAGAATAAATCCAGATGACAAGACCTCACTGTCCTGCTGCTATGGGGGCACTTTTAACCATCAGGGTTGTCAGGGAAAACAGAGATGGATGCCTGACACCTTCACTGTCATCCTCCTCCTGCACCACTCATTATTCATTCTGAGGTTCATGTTACACTCGCCGTTTGTCTGCAGCTCAGGACGTCACAGTAGAAAGAGACAGAGGGATGGAAAAAGTCGGTGTGGGGGAGGTGTGGAGTTGAAAAGTTGACATGAAAAGCCAGCTGCACGTGTTGCCCACACACATGACCCTGCCAAGGTCCAGCACACCTACAGCATGTGCACACAGAGCTTAGGGAGGGCTGCACTTGCAAACCTGTGCATGGTCGGAACTCATTTGAAAACATTTGAATTATTCAAACCTTTGGAAAGACTTCAATTCACCTAACCCTTTGAGTTTGTCTGTAGCCACACTAGCAGCTCTGAGCAGGTGCTGGTGGTTACACACTAGAACCGTGGTTCCCAACCTTTTTCCTTAAGGGACCCCTTTTCTATCATTGAGTAAACCACTGCACTAGAAAGCAAAACAGCAGCCATTTTACGACATCTGAAACTCTCACTGTTGAATGAAACAGGTCAATATTTTAAGCCCTTATTTTTTTTTCTTTTGGCAATAAGATCAATAACAGTCTTGTGCATTAAGTCAGGGGTCACAATTTAGCTAACCTAGCTTAGCATAAAGACTGGAAACAAGTGGAAACAGCTAGCCTGGCTCTGTCCAAAGTTTAAAAACACACCTTCTACCACTTCTGTCTTATTTTATTATTTAGAGTTAGTAGCTGGAACCATTTCTGGACAAATACAAATTATTCCTCCACCCAGCATGGACACTTGGTCCTCTGACTCAACTTTCCTTACTGGAACCTACTAGCCCAAATTACTAGCCCTCTCCTATATTACCGCTAACACTACCTATGACAATTTCAGCTCTCAAACATAAATTCCATGCTAACCTTAATAGTCCAACCAGTTCAACAAGCAAACAGCATGGAGGGAGTACGAGTTATCACCAAAACAAACCGCTCATTTCTGAAGCAAAATGCCAACCATCCTTACATCACATTATCATATAAGCTGTGTGTGCACAAGCAGAATGTGAGTGTACGACAGCACTGACCAACAAAATAATGTACACATCACACACAAGCGTGCACACAAGGAGTCACAAAACAAGTATATTCCAAGTTTGTGAATCCCATCACCATACATCAGTATTTGAAATGAATACAAAGTCCCATGTTACCATGTCCAAATTTTGCATCAGCATTAACTGATGTCATACAAGTAATTGGGATTATGTAATCAGATTACAAAAATGAAGTTAAATTGTCAAGGATTACTTGACCACATTTTGTCTTTATAAACATTTTTTCATTTCAAAAATGTGTTTCATGATAACCAATGCTCTGTTTACCCTCCGGAGATCTTGATAGGGGAATGGGCTGGATCTCATGTTATTCAATTGTTTGATTTGATCCACATATAGGACATCGCATTTCCACTCCAATATTGCTGCTGCTATCTTTCGCCATTCAGAGCTAGAGTCTGTGCAGTAGTGATAGTTGGTGCCACACTCACGAAGCCCAACTAAATGGCGAGCAGGCCACAGCTGTTTACAGGTTTTGGCTACACCTTTATATATGTTGATACTTTGAGGTCAGAGCTTTGGTAAAGTGAGGAACACAGACTCAGCCCAAGGTATCATGAGACTGGCTAATAACAATGGTTTTCAACATGATCAATAACCACGGAAGACATTGGGTGTTGATTTGACCAACTGTAAATGCTAAATATGCAAAATGAAATTGATTTCCATTAAAAAAGTTCAAAGTCAACTTCATGAAACTAAAACATTTCCCATTTTGGCTAAAATCCGGAGCCAATACCCAACTGACACCCATCATAAACACACAATAAATACACTGCCACAATTATAACAGTTTGCTCCATAATTTATTCAATAAAACTTAAATCATCCATATTAGTGCTACTGAAACATCAATTGACATAACGGAGGAGGTTTTCTTTTTCACTTTTTCATCATTAACACACACAGATTCTATAATTATCCCCCACCGCTACTAATTCATAATTGAATGCATGGGTGAATAATGTATTAGTGTGGTTCTTCAGTCACCCCTGAGTGCTTCACTAGGTAAGATACAGTAGTCTGTAAGTCTAACATTCACACACCGAACACTGCTTTGATTGATTCAAGTGTGTCATGCACAGTCTCGGAGGGCGAGGGATCGGTTTCAACGATGGTTCTTCTCAGTGACAGTGAAAGAAATGCTCCAATGAGGTAGAAACATCGCTTCAACATCGTTATCTGAAGAATCTCTCCAACTGTCTTATTAGAAAGCACTACCTGAACCTGAAATAATACAGTACTGCAGGGCTGACCCTTAAAGGAACATTTCGTGGAGCTTTAAAGCAGCTTTAAAGTGCACCATAACAGCATGATTATTGCAACCTCTCAATGTGGTCCTTATGTACTCATTCCAGTGTTGTACATAATTAACAACTCTAATCAATGTTCTCTTGTGCAAATGAATGCATCAAAACAAGTAAATGTGCAGATATGAGTAGAGCTAATACAGTGTTAACTAGAACATTTCTGGAAGTAGACAACACGAGTTATCAACATGTAAATGTGAGGTATGAGTAAGAGCTTACAGCTTAAGATCTAATGATGCATTCACATGGAATCAGACAGACAGACAGCACCTTCTGGACAGCACAGGAAAAACAGAAACTCTCAGACACAATGGCGAGACAGCAAAATGAAACAGATGTTTAGTCATGCCGTTTCATTAAACAATGGAATCAAATATATCAAATGTAATTATTTTGTACGTGCTATTTTATGTAATTAGCGTCTTGTCCAGATACCCATGTTCTCTCCTTGTGTGAGGGAGCCTCCAGTTTTAAGGATGTGAAAAAGTTTAAATATTTTAACTTTGGACAATCATGGCGTCTAGCGTTTCCATGTGGATGTAGCACAAGTCCCTCTGAGACAGACTGCTTGACAGGACAAAATCACCAACGACATGACAGAATCACACAGAAACACGCAGAGAAAACACACATTCTCCCAATTAATCTTCATCTGAGAGTCGTGGTCCAAATTAGTGTGCAAATTAACTCAACTATTATTATTATGAATTATTTTCTATCATTCAATATTTAAATCTTATGTCCTCTCCCCTCATCAGGTCAGGCTCAGGTTCACTACAGCAC